TAATTCTTTCTTATTCACTTTTTCAAGGTTGGCAAGATTATCAGACCCAAACATCAGCTATCATGGGGTGGAATAGCTTATGTGACATGTTGAAAATCTCAGTTCCTGTGTCTTGGGATCATCACAATCAAACAAAAGTGGACCAAGTGAGGCTCTGACTATCATATGGCTGCACTCTCTCCTGAGGACAATTTCACATAAAATCTACAGACACTTCTGAAAATCTGGATATAACACATTTTATGATAAGTTAAGACACCAAAGTTTCCTTTTGTTTCCTCACACATTTTAGGAAGAACTTTTTTGTGGTTACTTATTTTCACCTGCAGTAAAAATTGTGTGCATATCTGTTTTACAAAGCAACACTAAAGTTACCAGCTGAACTTGCAGAACACCATGTCACACTGTACATATAGACCAGTCCCAATGCGATGTTTATTCACAGAACTAACAGAACATTGAAGTCATAATAATGAGAATCATACTTAATTTATTCCTACATTTTGGTATGGATATTATAAGTTTTATAAATACTATGCTAAATTCACATTTTACTGATAGCAGTGCATAGCAGAAGTCAAATTAAAGCTACATTAGGGGTGATAAGTGATGACTTTAGAGTTGTTAAAAAATTAAAAAAAGAAAAGAAAAACCTGACAGCTATGTCTTACTGTATAATTGTAGTACATTTCTGGGCAGATTGGTAGTTTTTTGTTTTTAATTTGTGTGTGGCTCAAAACATGATACCCACTTTTTTTGCATATATACATGTATTTCACAGAAAAATTCAGGTTTTTCACACATTTGTTTCTGGAGCATGCTTATTGGTGATAAATCAGATGCTACAATAGTATAGTTTCTCAACAACCAAATCATTAAAAAAATGAACAACATTATTTGTATATGTTGCATTTTGTTATAAACTTAGTTAACTTTCTAATTTAAGTATTTTTTGCTTGTATACAATATTCCAAGATGTTTATTTAAAAAAGCACAAGATAAGTTAATTATTTTTGGCACTAACATTTTCTAACACTGAAAATATATTTCTGACAAATACTTACTTCCTCTTCCATGATAGTTTTCCTCAATTTGTTCTGCCCTTTATATGTTTACTCGCTGCTAGCCTTGAGGCTCTCACTTAATCTCACATGATTACACATGATATAGATGCATTGTAGCATTCAAATGAGCATTAGGAGTCTGACACACCCTCCAAGTGCAGCTCACTCACTCACTCTATACTGTAGAGCACAATCATCACTTTATGATTAGGCAAGAAAAGACACACATCTTTGGGAAAAAATAGGGTTTGGATAAAGGAGAACATAGGGATGGTGATAAAGGATTCAGGAACCATCAACAACATACACACACAACCTACGATGTCAGCATGCAAAAAGGAGTAAAAATAGGTTTTAAGGGAAAGATGGTACAATGAACAGAAGGCTAAAAGTTCAAAGGGAGGTAAGGTCATGAAGGACAACAGTCAGGGAGGGCTAAGAAGGCAAAAGAACTAAAACAGGAGAGAAAGGACAGGGGAGAAGATTCAATGAAAATGGGAAAATTGTATAGTATTAGACAGTGCCACCTGTGCCTGCAATGGAAAAAGTCGGAAAGGTGTGGAACAGTAGTTTTGGAAGGGGAGAAGCCATGATGCAGAGACCAACAACATAAAATGCACCATTTATGTTGGTAAACAGGTAAGGAGGAAGAACAGAAATAAAGAAGGCTACACATCAAGTGAGTTCGAAGCACCTCGCAAGGGACCTGACAAAACCTATGCATGAAGATGGAGTGTGGATGTCGCTGAATGAGAGAGAGGAATGGAAGATATGAAGCAAAAGGGGAGGAAATGACTGAGGAAGGCTCAAGAGTGGAAATTAATGGTTTGGTTGGCCAGAATAGAGCAATTAGAAGGACCAGACAATGACTGGTTTGAATAAGTGAAAACACACAACCAAAAAAAAAAGATAGGAGAGTAAGCATAGAGGTGAATATCTAGTTGTGAGCATAGCCACTGGAGCACCTGAGGAGCAAGAACCCACTCTGTCAGGAGAATCTTGTCAGGTTGAGAAAGACAATTGGTGACAAAAATCATAGTGTCCAGGATGAAACAGGCAATAAGCCAAACTTGTAGAGATTGGGTCCATAAAACAAACTGAACAAGACCAGGTGCTCCTTGACGAGTTCTATAAGAGACAATGGTCAAATTGTTGGAATGGATAATGACAAAGCACCAGCAGACCACAAGAAGGAAATGATCCAATGCCCAACAAACAGCCAGAAGGTCAATTCAACCACAGACCGGCTATCTCCTGAGAGTCCAAATATGTCACCCACCTCATCAGAGATGCTTCTGTAAACAGATAAAGATCCAGACAAGGAGGAGAAAGAGAAATGCCAGCTGAGGTGTTGTCTCTGTCAAAGAAAGAGGAATGGAGGATTCCAAGAGAGGTTCCATTGGTCATGTAACACCCACTGAAAATGACACGTGTGCATCACCCCAATGGATGAGGGATTCCATGGAAGCCCAAGTCTCCAAAACAGAGAGAGAGATCCTGTCATATAGTGAGAGAAGGAGAAGTAATGGCTCCATGTCCTGCAAACAAAGGGGAGAAGGTTGAGTCCTATGGACACCCTCAAATGAATAAGATGTTGAGTATGGGTGAGATGTGATTTCTCCAGTTTGACCAGCCACCTCAATTGTGCCACCTCCTGAAATGGGTATAGTTTTGAGATGCTTATTGGGAAGGGGCCAAAAGAAACCAGTCAACCAGGTAATGGTGGAACCACAGTCTCAAGTTGTAAATGTGATGAGCAAAGGCTCTGACCACACGACAGAAGACATGTGGAGCCAATGCCAAACTGAACAGGAGAGTGCAAAATTGAAACATTCAACCCCCATGAACAAACCAGAGGGTAACATCTAGATGCAGGGGAAATAGGAATGTGCAGGGAAGCATATTAGTCATCCAAAGACCTGAAGTGAACGAGCATCTGAGGTTAAAAAAAAGGCTCCATGGTGAAACGAGGGAGGTTGAAGAAGCAGTTTAAGCTCAAAAGATTGATAATAGGATGCCAATACCTAGTCTTCTTGAGGATGATGAACAAACGGGAATAAAAACCCAGAGGACAAAAAATACACCTGTTCGATAGCATTATTCTGCAACAGATCCAAACCAACCTATGAAAGATGCTGGCAATAAAGTATATACAGAGGAGAAAAGAAATAAATGGGAATTGGAGACAAAGGAGGAGGAGGAGAAAAATGAAAATTCAGTCCATCCACCAACACTCAAAGAACCCAACTGCTACAAAAGGGTGCTAAAGGTGATCAAATTGGGACAAATATACCCCACTGTGTCTGAGCCTAAGGAGGTTTTCACTAACAATACTGATGTCTTAAAAGGGGATGATGAGAGATCTGACAACTTGAAGTAAAGACATGGAAAGATGGGACAGAGAGAGGAGAGAAAGTTAAAGTATGAAAAACAGGACATAATTGAGAAGGACAGGAAACTAAAGAGGAAATGTAGGAGTGCTGGTATACTGCCTCCACATGAGATATTAAAGAATTAAGGACATCTCCAAAAACAGACTGTTGAAGAAAATGCATCAGACAAAGGTCACACAGGTAAGAAGCAGGCAAACACATGTGAGTAAGAAGTGCATCCTTGCCTAAGTGATCTCAATAATAAAGGAACCACGGCAGGGGAAAAATAAAGGGAAGAGGGAGGATCAGGACCCCATGCCTAAATAAGTGATTTCAGAGTTTGAGATTCAAGAGAGGGAAACTCAGATCTATGGTTGGCTAATGCATGTGTGTCTTCCAAATGTAGTGGATGAGGTATGCTGGCACCAGCACAAAGGTGAGAAAGAAATTGTTCAGCATGGACACGATTATATGGGGAGGGGGAAAAACAAAATAATTGGATGCCAGACAGAATGGAGAAGGGAAGGGGATGAATCCTAGGAAACAGGAGAAAGAGACAAAAAGGTAACAAACCTGAGTTACCATGCTGAGAAGGATGAGGAAGATCCACAGGAGTAGACTGGGAAGGTGCAGCAAAAGCAGGAGGGGGAATAAAGCTGTTAAAATCATCATCCTCTGTAACACATTTCTGACACACTATGCCAAAATCTCCTTGGCATAAAAAGTGGAGTCTGACATCACAGAACTGTTATGTCTGAAAGAATCAGAATCCTGTGGATCCATATCAGAAGCAGCAGTGACATTAAATTGTGAGTTTATAATGTGGTAAAAATAATAAATAAATGAAAAACTTTCCAAGAGGTAAAGACAACAGAAAAGAGAGTTGTCAAAAGATAAAGTAACAATCACTGTGTCATTATAGAAAATTAACTGAAAGTCTGCACATGCAATTTCCAAATCAAGAAATGATGACTGTGCTCTACAGTATAGAGGGAGTCAGCTTCCCTAGGAAGGTGTGTTGACTCCTATTGGTGGAGGGTTGTTGCATGCTATAATGCAGCTATACCACATGCAAACACGTGAGGTTAGGTGGGAGCCGCAAGGCTAGTGGTGAGCAAAAAATGTGCATATAGAAGGCAGCACAAATTGAGGAAAGCTATTATGTGAATGGAGGTAAGGTGTCATATGAGAAATCAGAGCTACTGGTAGGTCATTAGTTTATGGCACTGCACCAACAAGTTTTAACTAAAACTTTCATCCTCATTATAGAGAACTTTTTAATAGAACACATATACATAATAAATAAAATGTAATTCATCTTAAAAATACAAAAAACCCTTAAATTGTTATTTACCTTTTTTAATGAATATCAGACTTAAACATTTTTTAACATACCTTGATCAAGCCTACCATCAGGAAAATTTGCTTCAGCCATTTTTGTCACTGGAGCATCCCCACTGCCTGTGTTTGCAAGTAAAATCAAAAATTATAATTCTTCAAATTATAATCCCTAATTAACTATCATTAAATGTGAAATAATTCAATGCACACCTTACTTTGAGGGTACTAGTAAGTTATATTAATTGCTAAGCTCTAGTGGGAACAGACTCCTAAGATGACCAAATGTAATGAGATATTGTTGGATTTATGGCCCGAAATACTATTAACAGAGGACACCCAACTGGTGAAACAATTCATTCTAATCTTTGTAAGTAAGAATGTATGAATAGCATAATTAATTATCTATACTGATTAAAGGGTTTATTTTTATTTTATATATAAGTAGGCAGCTTATTCTGATGGAAAGTTCATATTAATTAAGTATCCAAGTCCATTCTCAACCTTATGTCAAGCTGATATTCAATAGGACTTCACAAAACAACAATTAATTCCAAGTACAATTTTGTAGAAAATTCAATAAAATACATTTCTATAAATAAATAAAATTATTTTCAGGATTCTTAACAAAAGTCTTCAAAAAGTTTGTATTATTAATATTCTGTAATATTTAGTTACAATAACAATAAATTTAATATAGTGACACAAACCCTTCAAAACTCATTCCTACTACATACTAATTCCAACTCTTCACGTACCTATCAGAGTTATAGAACAAAAAGTTTTTACTTTGATGTGTATACGATACGTATTCTTGAAAATGTATACTTATCAACATTGATTCACAGAACTATCAGACTGTTCAACTTAAGCACATCAATCTGTGAAACTCACAAACAAAACCATTTAAGCAACTTCCTAAGATCTAGAAACTGTAACAACCTTACAAATCAAGAAAAATCATTAACATAAGTTTTGCTCATTAAGGTTCAGCTTCATTTCAAGACTTTCTTGAATTCATAATTCCTGCTCATTCTCAATTTAACTGTCACAAACGTGTTTATTGTGACAGACAAAATTATATTTTGTAGACAATGTCTTATGACAGATGACAAGTTCTCTGGTTTACCAGCAGAATGCTGATGAGAGAAGATAACCACTAACATATTCCTTTACATCAGAACAAGTAAATTTCAATTCAATAAGGGACTGTTCAATCATATGGATGATGTCTTAAAGTAAAAACAAAGCTTTTTTATTCTCACAACAGAGCTAAACACATACCTAATTTGTTTCTGTAAATAAAATCTGTCCAAGATTGTCAACATTATCACTATAGCTGTTGGTTCATTAGATAAATCAAATTTTAACCTCAAATTTCCCATTTGTTCACTACTAGTGTGGTCCACATATTGCAGCACATTGAATAACTATGTTTTTGCATGTTATAACACTTAAAATAAAGAACTGACCAAAACAATTAAATGAAATGACTCATTTTCTACATAAAATACATAAGGAACCTGAGCAATAATTAGTGGGATTAATTGCAGTATTGGTGATATTTTTTGTGATTTATATAACCAAAAAGAGACATTAACACAAGCAAGAAAGTGTGTAAACAGTTTATTGAAATGGCTTTCAAAGACAGATAATGTCCATATAATACTAGAGTTAAAACTGTATGGGTGATTTGCTTCTTCAACATTTCCCTAATGTTATTATCAATGCAGTTACCATTAAATACATTTCAAATGATTTTTTAAACACTTTTTTCACATGACAAAGAAAAACTGCTATAATCATGTAAAGAAGATTCACAAGATCTTTCACCAAGTTAACATTGAATAATATAGGAACAAAACTATCAAATTGAGCCAAAAACACTGAAAAAAAGGTTTGTGATGTACACCATTCTTAAAACTAACTTACTGATTTTGCACTAAAGTATCTGAAAGAGGTGAACTGAAGTTATAATTTTCCTAAATGAAAATGTATTTTTGATAGGTACTTTCGTCTTCTCACAAGATTAGTTTTCTCATTTTGTGCTGCCCTCTATATGCAAACTTTTTTCAAAAATGCATGCCTGAAGTGTTCATCTCCCTCTGTTGGAACCCAAAGTTCCAACATGTCTTTCATGCAAATCATCATGTGTCACCTTTCCACCAATAGGAGAGCACTACTATCATGTGATTCATGTGGCTCTCTCTAAACATCACTACCAAACTATCATTTCCAGGTTTGTCAGAAGACGCGAGCACTGGAAGATTGTGGGGAGGACGGGTGGGAAGTGTGAGTGGAGGGAAGTACCTATCGGAAATACATTTTTATTTAGGAAAATTGTAACTTCTGATAAGATACTCTCCCTCTTCTCACAAGATTAGCTGGAATCTCACATTGAAATGTGTGAGGAAAGCACAGGCATATCCACCGGAAGCATCCAGAGGACACCCCCGAAATGAGAGTAACAGATCAGATGATCTGAGGAGGGGTACCGCAGCAGGACCAGACATGGCGAAACATTAAAGGGAGCACATCCATGTGGGAGAGGATAATTTAGCATTGTGATCTTAAACAGAAATCAGAATCACTCAATCCCATGACGGAAAGTGGGCAAGTGAGGATGTGTTTAATTGGTGTAGAGTGGCTAGGGTGCAACGGACTATACTCGCTACGTCAACTACATCCAAAACCTCACTTGCTGGGTATCAACATCCTCCTGAGGATAGGATGAGGATCATACCTTCTTCACCTAAAGTCCCAGAGTCAAGAGGGAACCTAACATTCATCTCCAGGAACTCACAGGGTAACCTAATTCCAGGAATCTGGGAACATGTCCTCCGGAATCCAGTGGAAGTCCATCACATGCACTCAACCTCTGCAACCATGAAACCAACTCAAAATGACCCCAGGTTGGTAACAACCTCATCTCCCAATGAGAGAAAACCCAGGATAGAAGCGGAAACAGGTCACATAGACCCACAACACAGAAGACAAGTCGAGAGAGGAAGATGAATAACCTGAAACCTGTGTGAGGACTTATGTGATTGGTTCATTTAATCTCCGTAGTCTCACTCACTGGGTACCGACATCTGCGTGAGGGTAGGAGGAGGACACCAATCGGAGGGGTGAACTACATTTGGGCATCTCAACTCTGGGAAATAGTCACTCATCCAAAGGATCTTGTAACTTCCTCTACACCGGCATAACACCACCACCCTACTCTGAACTGAATGGTTATTAGCCATCTTCGTGGAACCCATCCAGCAGGTTGCCTCCATGGTTAACCAACCTAGTGGCTTGGAACTGGTAAATGGTAAGGACTCCCATACTCCACTGGAAGAAAGTGAGGAATAGTGTGGTGGAGAGTCCGAAGGGACTGCAACACCTGAGACAGTGCAATGGGTGATCACAAAACACTGTTTTGAAAAAGCAGACCACACCGATTTGTTCAATCTAGGCATGGCAGGGATGAACAGCAATCCCCTTCTGCTTTACCCATGCCATCCATGAGTAGTACAGTCTGGGACAAGCATACTATGATACAATTATCACGACAAATTTACACTCCAGTGATCTTGTGAAATACCCCATCTCAAGGGTGAATGTACAAAGCCATGAAAAATGTATAAGAATCAACATGGCTTACAGTGTGGATTTGATATCAAGATGTTTGCGAATGGTTATAGCCCTCTAAATGAAATCCATTCCAAGTACAGACAGAATACCTGGTCAAACACCACTTGCAACAGAGTGGGATCCAAAGTGAAGCTGAAACAGGGGCTCCTGAAAAAGAAGAAAGCATTAGTGAGGGCTTACCTCATGTCATAGCCTCCCCAAAATCTGTAGAATAGCCACAGGCAGCAGGTGATACCCCAAGGAAGCAGAAACAGCAATGTAGTATAGGCAGTGAGAGATGAACATGTGCGAAGTTATCCACATGCCTGGTTATAGAATCTCTTCCAATGACCGACAAAGATGAGAGGCAAGGGAGAAGGTAAGGTGAAGGATTTGATGTGAGTAAAATGTGGAAGAGATCATACTGGGAAGGAAAGAAGGAGGAAAAAAGTAACTGCATCAAACATCGAACTCAATTGGTCAGAGTAACTGGGAAGAGGAAAGTTGCCAAGGGATAAAAAGGCTATAATGAGGTCCCGGAAGGAAGCCATGTGAGCAATGGAACAATGGAGGGCACAGACAGGACAGAAGAGTCTATCCAAATCAGAACAAGGGTAGAGATGAGATATAGAGGATAACAGATAGGAGAAAAAGAGGAATTGCTTTAACAAGCCACAAAGGTTTTGGGAAGGAAAGCATGATCCAGATAAAGAAGAAGGTAGGAGAAGTGGTACAAGGTTCTGGTAATGCCAAATGCAAAAATATCTGACCTGCGACATCTGCAGGCCAGAAGAAGGAGGAAATATACCTTCAAAGAGAAGTGAAACAGGGAACACACAGGCAGAGTTTTGATTGGATGTAAAGTGAGGGCATGAAGGACCACGACAATGTCCTAGTCCGGAAGCGACTGACACCTAGGTGGCTGAAGGAGCTGGAAGGAACAGATCAACATGGAAAGGACAGGGAAAGCAAAGACCCTATGGAAATTGGAAAATGGAATGTATGGGATAATGCCACCTGAAACCTCAAAACTGAGGAGACTGAAGAACCCCACTTAAAGAACCATGTGAGAAACTCAGAGATACAAGCAACCCTTGGTTGAGAAGCCTTTAAACTCCAAGTCAATGCCCAGGAGCGATAAATGCTCCAATTGCATTGATAAATGGCCAAAGAAGAAGAAGGGTGAATGGAACAGGCTAAATGTGAAGCTACCCTGCAGGTGTGAAGACAAAGGAGGGACAGCATGGGATGGAGCACCAGTGACTGGAGTTGATGGAGCAGGTTGGGACAGATGGGAAGAGGAAGGAGAGTGTCCACCAGCAGTTGGGAAAAGCGAGGATGGGTAGACCAGTAAGGAGTGAACAGAAGGATCGTGCATGAAGTGCCATGGATGAAGTAAACAGATGGGTGGGTAAACATAAAGGAACAGGTGAGATCAATCCTAGCTGAAGGCATCAACAGCCAAGGGTCAAGGATAGGGGACCGGGGATCAAAACAAAGGTAATTTGTGATTGAGTATGGTAGCAAAGGCATCAATATGGGGCATACCCAGATGCAGACAGAGCCACTGAAAAATGGCAGGATGCAGGGACCAATCTGCGGGATAAATTAAATCTGGTTGGGAAAGACGATCAGCTACAAGATTGAAAGCACCCGATACATGATATGCTATCAAATGAATGTGATGTTTGTTGGCTCAAAAAAGATCCATACTGCAAAAACCTAGGGATCTGGACCTGGTGCCACCTTGGTGGTTGTTGGAATGAATCATAACCAGCTGTCCAGAGAAAGAAATTGATCCAAAGTTCAACAAACAGACAGGAGTTTGAGAAGAGAACTCTCATCCACAGACCAATGACCCAAAACCTCCTGGTGATCCACCCAGGCACCCCAGCCCTGATGGGATGTATCCGTGATCAGATGTAAATCTGGCCATGGAGGAGGAAGCGAGACCCCCACCGACATATGGGCACTGTTCAACCACCAGTGGATATCATCTACAAGGAATGAAGGAAGGGATGTAGAAGTTTCCAAGGGATCCTAGGCAAGGATCCAATGATCATGAAGTACCCACTGAAGAAACCACATATGGGCCCTGCCCAGGAGTATTAGAGAGGGCATGGAGGGCCACAACCCCACGATATGACCTCGCAAGCTGTAAGTGAGGGAACAGACAGGGCTTTCTGAATGGCTCATTCCATAGAATGGAGATGAGAAGATTGAGCCCAACGGAGATGGGTGTTGAAGAAAACACCCAAATGGATAAGGTATTGGGTAGGACAAAGGAAAAAATTCTCCAATTTGACCAACCAGCGCAGTTTTGGCCAGGAGCTGACGAGTGTGACAGGCCAATTCCCAATCGGAATGAGCAAGAACAAGCCAGTCATCCAAATATACATGGAAGCACAACCCCATGGCATGAATATGTTGAACAAAGGAGTGGACCACACAACAAAACACAAATGGTGCTGGGGCTAGGCCCAAAGATAAGGTGCAAAACTGGTACACAACCCAGCCATTTGACAAACCAAGGAATGCTTCACCACAGGAATGTGGAAGTAAGCACTGGAAATGTCCAACCTCGGTCCTCCAAAGACCTGGAGAAAATGGCCACCGTGTCTCCATAGCAAAGTGAAGAGTGTGAACATACTGATTGAGATGGAATAAATTGATGACAGGATACCAGTCCCCGTCTTCTTGGGAACCACAAAACAGGTGGGAGTAAAACCCCTGTGAATGTGGTGAGCTGGTTCAAAAGCCTGTTGTGCGATAAGGTCCTGAACCTCTTCTGACAGATGCTGGCATATCAAAGGATCCCGAGAAGGGAAGGGAATGGGATAATGGAGAAAAAGAGGATAACTAAGCACCTTGTGAACTGAGACATCGGCAAGAAAAGGTTCCCACAAATGAATGAAATCCAATAGAAAAGCCTTCACTGGGCCCAAATTGACCACATAGTCACTGGTACTGCTGTTGGCAGATCGAGTAAGTCGTCGAACTGTGACACCACGAGAAGGTGGGACAGGAAGAGGTTGGGAAGGGGAAGGCAGGGGACAGGAATCAGTGCCGCGCTCAGCCCTGACTGTGACAAATGATTCACCAAGTTAGTAAGGGTAGAATGTCGATGGGCCGAAGCCACTCACGACTCCAAAAACTCAGAAACCGAGTCAAACACATAACACTGCAAAAATGGCACCATGCGGAGCTCCCTTAGATAAGGAGCCTGGAGATGGGTCCACACCAAAACAGCATCATAGCCCAAGAGGTCACAACAATAAGCAAACCACATTTGAAGTGCAAGAGGCAAAGAACACAGAAAACCCTCAGGGTTCCTGTGAATAGCCTCTGACAGAAGGTGAAGGGAAGAAAGGTACATGAACAGGATCATGAGGGTGAGATGAAAGCAAGATAATTGAGCAGGGTAATCTGGGTTCGCCCGTAAAATAGGTAGAATTGACCCCAACAACTGTTGGTCGAGAAAAGGAAAATCCACCCAATGATAAGTAAGAATATACTGATCTGAAGTCTGTGGAGGACGAAGCATACTAATGCCTTCCCCCCTGTTGAGAGGCCAATTGGTCCATGTGAACCCTATCATTGGGGGATGGGGAAAGACTAAATAGGGTTGAAAATTTCATGTATAAGGAAAGGTCTTGGGTCCTAGGAAACAGGTGTAAGAGACAAAACATCACATACCTGAGAGATAAAGTCTGAAAAGACTGATGATGGATGAGCTGAATCATCAGGTAGTGAACAGGAAGGTGCAGCAAACTCTGGGTGGGGAAACAAATGATCAAAATTGTCAACAGCCTGGCCTGGCCCAGAAAGGCTCAGGAGGAAGTGAGGTAGAAGTAGGCGAGAGAGGTTGGTTCATATACAGTCCGATCTCTCAGAGATTGAGTGAGAATATATCTCTGATGGGTCGCCCATGCCCGTGGCTGAAAATTCAGCATCAGACACTGGTGAAGTGCAAGAAGTGGTGACTTTAACTTCGGAATTCATAAGCGAGAAACACGAGGAAGTAATGCTTTATTAAAATATTAACTCCACAACTTTGAAGTGTTGGAAATAAAGTTAAAAAAGTATGAAAAAATAAAAAAATAAAGCCACATCAAGGTAATTGAATAATGTAAAAAAGAACGTCTGAACTCAACAACTGCAAAAGGAGAAGTGATAGTTTGGTAGTGGCGTGAAGAGGGAGTCACATGCATCACATGATAATAATGCTCTCCTACTGGTGGAGAGGTGGCACATGAAGATTTGCATGAGAGACGTGTTGGAACTTTGGATTCCAACAGAGGGAGAATGAAGGCTTTTAGCATACGTTTATGAAAAAAAAAATTTGCATATAAAAGGGTACACAACTTGAGAAAAGATAATCTCATGAGAGGAGGGAGAGTACCCTATTGGAATTCATTTTTGCATTGAACTGTTAACCTTACATTTTGGTGTTTACCCTTCTATCAATAAAGGAATTCACTAACATGAATTTAAAAAATTGCAAGTGCATGATCAAAATATTTAAAATAAAGTGATTTGAAATCAACGTAACCTTTTAACAACTATTGTTTATACTGACAGCTCAAGAACAGATTAACCATGTTGAATCAAACACTGATCCCATACTAGCCCCATCAACCAGATAATAAATAAAGCCATTAAACATGGAATGCTATTCTTTTACGTCAAAAGATATTAGCTTAAAACCCTGCTTATAATTCTAAACACACTTACCTGAATATATAAATAAATATAATTCCATATATAGAGATCAATAGTTTGTTGCAAGGGAATGTTAGTTTAGAAAAGCTTCCACATCAAAACTGGCTGTGTAAACATTACCATTCAATTTCAAATTCTCCAAAGAGTTACAAAACTTGTATTTGTCTTGGACCTCTGTTACCTGTGTTTTTGTGAAGAAATTTTACTGAGTAACCTTAGAGATTATCACTGTACAATGAAATGAGAAGTTGCAAAATATGAAATAAAATCAATAATACCTTTATTTCTTTCTCGAATGACTGCAGATTATAGTAGATAACTATAATTATTTATCCTTACAGCATCAGCTTCTAATCTTTTCACATCTTCTTTCTTATTATTGTTTTATTACTGTAAGCAGAGCTAAGGGAAACAGATGATCAGGTTACAATGATGTGAGTGCATACAGTGAGTTTCTTTATCTGACTGATCTCATGAAAGTTGTTTATTTAGTTTTTTCATTAAAGTTTTATCTAAACTAAGGATTTCTAATTTTTATATTTTAGTTATCTTTGTTAAGAAGTACATAACATTAAATAAATCATATACATAAAAATGAGGAATTTATCACTTATTTCAGCTTGAGGCCATTTGTACTTGTAACCCTACTTTTTTCTGACTAAATTGGTTGTCCAAAAAATAATCCATGTAGTTTTCAAAGTATGCATTTCAGAGCACAAGTACATCAGGCACTTGAATAGAACAAAATGTCACAAAACTACTATAATTGATTTGGATTTCTAATTAAGCTATAAGTAGCTTAAAACAAGTCCATTACTGCTGGAATTTACTCAACACTCATCACGTTTTGTTTGAAAATTACAAACAGCAAACAAAACATGGGATCAAAGATAAGTACTGTATTTGTTTAACATTTAGGTTCTTTATTTATTGTTATAAAAGTAACTAAAATGTAAAAATTAGAAACTTATTATATTAGATTAGCTAAGATAACGAAAAATAATAACAGAAATTCTTCCTGAGGTATGCTCATGAGCAGCTCATGTGTTATGCCATTCATTCAATATGTAAAGTGAGCTACACATTTGCTGAATTATTTACAACTTTTATGGTGGGATTATTAATTAGACACTGTTCAAAAGGCAATAAAACAATAAAATTATGTATAAACAGATGTAAACTGTTACAAGTTTAAAGAAAAAAAAGGGTAATTTAGATTTATTTGTTTTTTTTGGTGATTACAAGGTCAGTCAAATTGACCAAGTACATATACAGTCAGGGTAGAAAAAAGAACGGGTAACAGATTCGTTCGATGGGAATCAGAATTTGATAATAATCAGTAGAATGACGGTTATAGCAAAGAATCGACACTTTATTTTCGGTATTGTACATCTATTCGTCGGACGTTTCAGAATATTCACATTCCATCTTCAGCGACTGTATTAATTAATCGATAGTATTAAATACACATATTCATTCAGTTGGAACATTTACAGTAGCATAAAGAAAAACAAACAAACAACAACCAGCAGGATTTAAACAGGAAATAACAAATTTTAACTTTTATATTACGAAACTAGTGTGGTAAAGAGGGGGAGGTATAGAGATAACACTGTATAGTTGACAATGTGCTAGGGGTCTTTATAATAGGCTTAGCTGTAAAGAAGTTGTGTTATTGTTTAGAGTGGGGCATTCATTTAAAATGGACAAGCTTTCTTTGATAAGTTCTGTGTTGGATGAACCGGTCCAAAATTATTTTAAAATTGTTAATCAGAATTGGGTGGTTGTTATTTTCACTATGTAAGCGGATTGCTAATTCAGGTGGATTTGATAGTTTATTACCAGTCCTACTCCATATTCCCATATGTTCACAAACTCGTAGGTGTAATTGGCATGTGGTTTTACCAATGTAACTGGCATTACAGCCACCACACATATATTTGTAGACGAGTTTTGAACGCATGGGGGTAAGTAAGTGGTCCTTTGTTTTAAATAAGTTTTGTATTTTAAAGGGTGGTTAAAATATCATTTGTAGTCAGATTTGTGGGTAAAATGTTTTAATTAATCTCACAATTTGGATCTTCATTATGTAAGCTTGTTTTCCTAGGAAGAGAGTGACCAGACATAATTGGAATTTGTTAACAGTGTGTGGTTTCTTGAAGGGTTCATGTTTTTCAGAAAGGAACTTGTTTGTTATAGCTTGGGTAAAATGGAGTAGATAACCATTATTTGTTAAGATGTTTTGTAGGGTAGTGATTTTGGTATGGAGAGAGAAATAATTAGAACAGATGTTGTATGATCTATTGAGGAGATTTAGGATGAGGTTACTTTTATAAGAGTTAGGAATAAAACTATCAAAACGAGTATGTAGTAGTGTATATGTTTCCTTACAATAGACAGAAATTGTAAACTGGTTATCTAATTTTTTAATGAAGACATCGAAGAAAGGAAGTTTACCGTTTTTTTCAATCTCGCAGGTAAAATTAATGTTTGGGTACTTAGCATTTAGGTAGTCCAGATACTTTTTGATGTGATTATGGTTTCTTAAGAGGAGAAATGTATCGTCAACATACTGTTACGTCTCCGTTTGTTAATTGATTTTCCGTAACTTCGTTCCGACGAAACTTAAGC